TGATACCAAATTGAGGCCAATTTTAGGCTGATTTATGGTTATTTAAATTCTGAATTGATGCTGAATGATGCTGAATTGAGATCAATTTTAGGCTGATTTATGATTATTTAAGTTCTGAATTAATGCCAAATGATGCTGTATTGAGGTTAATTTTAAGCTGATTTATGTTATTTAAGTTTTGAATTAATACCAAATGATGCTGAATTAAGGTCAATTTTAGGCTGAATAGCCATATCTGATTGGAGTCCATTGGCGCTTATCAGCATCTGAATTGTTGCCAAATTGAGGTTAGTTTTAGGCTGATTTATAGTTAAATTTAAGTTCTAAATGGCCATGTCCAATTGGGATCAATTAGCATCTATCAGCACCTGTTTGTGCCAATCAGAAAACATGGCAAATTGGTCGTAAATAGTATCAAAATCAGCCTAAAATCAGCCATCTGATTTTTAGTCGATTTGGACTATTTTAACTAGTGACATTGAAGGTTAAACATCATATTTTATTGTTAAAAAATCGATCTTACATATGTTCTTGCCTTTCTATTATATGATGTAGTATAGTATACAGGTATTATTTTCAATTAATGCTAAATATAAGCTCAGTAATATTTCATATTAGAATGTTTCTTCACATTAGTATTGTAATAAGTAAAATAGAGTAAAAGAACCCTTTATAGTTGCGGACAAATACTTTCAAAACTAATCTATTGAAGTTACTACTAATTGTAAAGTTTCATATTTGTATCTTTTTAAACAAGAAGCAAATTTTAAAGAAGAAAATTTAATGATCAACAAAAGATAACATATAGAAATATTAGTGGCATATACAAGAAACCACTTAATAAAGCATTGCAAAGCAAGGAAAATTCTTAAGAATTAATGGAAATGCTTCAAGATTTTGTGAAAAATGATATTGATGATTAGTCAGATTTAGAAGATATGCAGTAGAATGATCACTTGCACTGGTCTAATGATGCCAATTCAGGAATCATTAAAATACATGAATGATATCTGAATGATATCCTAATAATTTCGAATTGGCATCATTAGGAGTCATTCGGTAATTACTAAATTATATCTAATGATGGCCTAAATTTGGGTCCCATTCAGAAATCATCTGGGATGTATAGCTTTTATTTCTTTATTTATAAACTGAATAATATTAAATTACTAATTAGTATAATTCAATTGTATTACTGAATATTGGTAAAAATGTAATTTATGCTAATTTATTGAATTTTGTCAGATTATAAATACATTTAATATAAATATTTAAATATAAACTAATTAATCCCATTTGAATCATATTTCAAATTTCCTTCTTATTGATTACTATTATTATCATTATTTAATTCTTCTTGGATATTTAAATAACATTGATTGCAAGCATCATCAACACATTTCTTTAAATAACTATTATATCTGAAAAGAGTCTAATAAGGAGCCCTAAACAGAGCATCACCAATGATATAATATTCATTGTCATGAATACGATTTCTTTGACGAGTGGATCTGGATATTTCATTAAATGCCCTATCAATATAATCTCGTAAGAATTTATGAGTCTAAGAATAATCAATTAGTATTCTATATACATATATATAAAACAAATTAAAAATTAAAAATTACTGTTGAAGAGCGTCAACTCATGTCTTTAATGACAACTAATCTTTCATTATCTGGATGAACTGGGTTAGTTTCACTTCCTTCTTCTAAGTGGTATCAGTTATCATCAATAATTGGACGAAGTTCATTTTTTGAAAATTTTTTAATTAGTTGATCTTTTTCTTGATGTAATCGATCAATTACTCTAGCTTGTCGCAACCTTTTTTATAAGTATATAAAACATAATGAGTAATAATGAATATAAATATTATTGATAAGATATTTACTTCTCTAGCACGAGCATTTTTGTGTCTTCTTCTCGCATGTCTGTCTTGTTCTTCTGAACTTTTTAATCCTAATAAATACGATTCTCTTTGATGTTGATATCATTCATAAACGATATTATATATAATATTATTATTAATAGAAAATCTTTGACAGTCAATACTCGCTTGTATAGTTTGGATAATTATACGATTTACTAGATTTCGTTAAGATTCGAATGTAAGTTTATATTCAATTTGAAATCATTTGGCATGTTTTGATAATTCTAAATATTTTTCTCTAAACCATTTAATTTATGTCAATTAGTGATTAATATTGAAAACAAGAATATAACAGAAAAATAATACTTACTCTTAATGCTATTAAGAGGTTTTTGTCCATATCCAAAGTATATATGTAATTGGGTATTTTTGGATGATGATGTTTTTCATGTTTCTTTTCTTTTTTTTTATTTAAGATATTTGTCTTTTTGTACATTCGTTTCTTCATCTGAAGTATCAGAATCAAGAGAAACTACATCATTAGTAATTTCATTAGCTCCATAGTATGATTCATTATCGATAATTTCACCAGTTTTGAAGTATGATCGGTGTGAATATTTGTTTGATAGATTATCATCACAGCTGAAATCCTTTTTGATGTTGGATAGACCAGTTACATCATAATCAGAACCTTTGGTATTTGACAGACTAGCTATATTATATTTAGAAGTTCTTTTATAATCTGGTTTGACACTCGTATTAATAACATCTTCCTTTTCATTTAGTAACAGTTCATTTGGACGCAATTCTCGCATCTTCCCTTATTTAATAGATTCAATTATTTTTTTAAAGTAGTTGACTTGTAAATTAATAATAGTTTGTTCTAAAATAAAGTGAAGTGTAGTTCTTTGTACTCATTATTCATAAGCATTATATACCAACTAATATTTGATTCATCATCATACCTGATTTATCATCGATTCTTCTTCTTGATTCTTCTTCGTATCTTTTTTCTGAATTATCTTTACGAATAACATCTGATTCATCACAATTCCTTATTCTCAATAAATCTTCATGTCCTTTTTCTAAATCATTATCACAATTTTTTCTTGAATCATCACAATTAACATTTGGTTCATCTCGATACTTTCTTGATCTATTGTTATGATTTTTTCTATGTTTTTTTGGATATTTTTCATATTGAGTCATTTCCGATGATGAAGACTCTAACGATTCTGATAAAGAACTATCATATATACAGAAAATATCAAAATATGTATTTAAATTGTTTATAAATAAATATAATTGTAAATCAATTATTAATGATGCCATTACTAATATTTATTCTTATGCTTTTCATGAGAATGAGAATATGACTAGCCTTTTCTTCGTGAAGGAGATTGTTGACCTAAATATTTGTTTTAAGAATAATGTGTACGTGTTATAGTGTATTAAAACATTGAGAATGCGTTTATTTAAAGTTGTATTTTATCAGGAAAAGAATGATGTAAATAAAAAAAAATCCAAAGATTGTTCTTTTATATTCATCAACAAATCAACTTAAATACAAATAGTTTATGATGAGTTTATTTAATCAATGTGATACTGATTAAAGTATAAATGTGTTATCGAACAATATAGAGATTTTATTTTAATTAATATAATACTTTAATTGATTGATATAAATGTTTGTTGATTGATATACTATAACGATATCAATAAAATATCAAGAAATTAATATACTGATTAACGTCAAATATTATTTATTATGCAAATATATAAACTCTCTCTTAAACACATCCAACGAGAAATTCTAATACAAAGAAATTAACCGTTTAAATGCCCAAATATATAATAAAGAGTTTTAATAAAAAATAAACTAAAAGGTATAAGTAGGAAAAATCAAAAAAACTGGTTGCTTGTTATTGTGATCAATGTAATGGTAAAGAAGTTGATCCAAGAATGAGAAAAAGACATAATAATCTCGAAGAATAGCTTGAAATCCATTCTTATACATCAAAACAAACTGCCAATAAAATGCATGAAGTTTTGAATGTTTCTAGAAAAAACTCTAAATTAATTGTAGTCGATTTATTATCTTCCAGTTCAATAAGCTCATCTGACAATAATAAAGAAATAAATTAAAAATCAAAGAAACAAGAATCTAGAAAAAGATATGATCAGTTTCAACATACAGATATTATTAACATAAATCAAGAAGAAGAATAAACCCAATCATCCAGTTCATTAAGTGAAGAAGAATGGTTTTAATCAGCTGATGATAAATACCTACATGAAGAAGAAAAAGAATTAAGTAACAAGGATGATAGAAATCTTTTTGAACAATTTTTCACTTCTGATTTAAATGATATAGATATTAATTTGAATTCTAAATTTACTAGCTTTGACAATTTGTAGATTTTACTTTGGATCTTTAAATACCAAGAAAGGTTTCGTCTTCCAGATATAGCAATAAATTTATTAATCCAGTTTTTTCAGCTTGTTTTATTAGATGTTGATTTGAGATGATTTAAAAAAATTTTCTTCATCAGCATATGTAGCAAAAAAACTACTTGAAATCAGAGAAAAGACAAAAATATTTGCAGTATGTCCTAACTGCAATAAATTGCATAATGCATATAATAGTAAATCTGAATTCAAGTGTGATTATATTGAATTTCTAATTCACTTAAAGCAAAATCATCGTAAAGCTTGCGAAACTGAAATAATGAAAAAGGTTTCAATTATACAAGGATATATCTGGCGTCTGAAGTTAATATTTTTTTTACCTAACTTGAAGAACCAATTGGCTACTATGTTTCAATGCCAAGATTTTAAACAACAACTTCTAAAATGGATAAATCAGGATGTGAGAAATGGATTAATGTCTGATATATATAAAGGAAGAATTTGAAAAACATTTCTCTCTTCTCTTGAGGATCTGAATTCCCGATTTTTTACACCAGAAACTGCAGATTCTTATTTAGAAATAATGATAAATTTCGATTGGTTTCAACCTTTCGAATCTTCTGTATATAGTACTGGTGTAATTTATGGAGTTATTTGTAACCTTTCACATGAAATAAGATTTAAAAAAGAGAACATGTTAACTCTTGGAATATTACTAGGACCTCGAGAAGTTAAAAAGCATCAAATTAATCATTTTCTTGCTCTAATTATCGATGAATTATTGGAATTGTGGAATGGATATGATTTGCCAGTTTTATCCAAATTTCCAAATAAAAAAAGGATACAATTAGCAGTCATTTGCTGCTTGAATAACATTTTCGCTACTCGAAAATTATGTGAACACATATCAGCTTATTGTGACATATCATAGGTATTATAAACGGACAAATAGTGATGATGATAGTAAAAGGGCAAATTATAGTAGATTTGACAATATGACAAGCTGGTTTATAACAAGAGACCCAAATGAACACTGACGAAATGCTACAGCTTGGTTGTATTGTCAAACAGAAAAAGAAAGAGATTGTTATGTTTTAATCACTTTAGCCAGGTAGTCTGAAATGTTACGCTTACCTTACCATGATCCTATCAAACATCTAATAGTTGATCTCATGCATTGCTTGTTTTTTGGTATTGCTCAGTAGATAATAAAGAGACTATGAATATACAATGGTAAAATTACAAACCAACAACTTGAAAAAATAGAAAAGAGAGCAAATGATATAAAATTACCATTTGATTTTAGAAAAATTCAAAATAAAATCGCTACTGGTAAAGGCTTTTCAGGATTTACAGCAAACCAATGAAAAAACTTTATTCTTATATATGTTACGCTATTAATTTGGAATATTCTTGGAGATTTTGATCAGGAGATATTAGGTAATTTTGTTAGGGCTTGCTTCTTACTAGTTTTATGTATTATTAATAATAATGCATTGAAGGAGGCATATTTCTGATTGTTGAAAGTCGCTCTTTTAATCGAAAGACATTATGGGCCAGAATTTATAACGCTAAATATTCACTTATTGTTTCATATTACTGACTGTTGTCTTGATTATGATCCACTTTATTCATTCTGGTGTTATTCATTTAAATGAATGAATGGAGTATTGAGTAAGTGATTTTAATAATTATTTTAATTATTTTCAAAAATAAAAATTTTATTTAATTTATTTATATTATTAATAGGATCTTTATCTAATAGTAAACATAATATTAAGCTAGAATTATTACGTATTATAATACAAAATTGGCGATTAGATAATCTAATTTCTCAACAAACAGAAAATTAAAAACTGAAAAAAGGATTGGATTTGATTCGATCTCAACTAACTGTTGGAAGTTTGGTAGCATACAACAGATTTAAAATTGATGAATTGTCTCAATTTTTAAATATTTGTTATCTTAATATTAATATTACTATAACCGGTAGCGAATCATTTCCTGGAGTAATGCTTGCCCTAAAAAAGTCTGAAGTAAACTTACCAAATGATATTTATAAGCTACTCGTAAAATATTATAACAATGCATATGAAATGACATTTGTATCAGTTGCTGATTTGGTTGAAAGTAGAGCATTTAAAAATGAAACATCTGATTGACCAATTGTTGTTATGCCTAATGTAAATCAATTTGGTCATATTTGAATTAGCGTAGAAGTATTTGGATCAACTTTAGCATTCTGGTTCACAAAAAATTCACAAATTCTTACAAAATTCGTTCAGAGTAATGATATTATAAAAACATTTCCCGACTAAGTTCAATTTTATTTTGAACACAAAATTGATTTTTTGGATGAGACTAAAAGTTATTATTTAGCCTTCGTTAGATGGTTTTTACCAGTAGATCATCAGAAAATTAGGTTTTATTATCAAATTGAAAATAATGATAATCGTAGCTATAATATTAAACTTTGGAAGAATAATTTTTATGAAATCAGCAGAGATAGTATAATTTCTATTCACAATATATATTGCCGATTTGTTAGCAGTAATTTTGTAGTAAGAGTAAAGAAACTTATCAAATACATGGCGGCCATTCCTATTAATAAACATTTTCATCTATAAAGTTATTTTTTTAATATATAGTAACAAAAATAATAAATAGATAACAATCTGTTAATAATTCTATATCAATCAGGTAAATAACTGATTGATTTCTGATTTGTAATATATGCTTATTAACAACTAATCAATTCAAATAATCAAACAGTTATAAATTAGCATATATTCTGAATAGTCAGCATTCTACTTGTGACTGGCCATCTTTAGCTTTATAATTAGTAATAAGAAACTATTATATAAGTAAAGAAAATCTATGGCTTTTTTGGCTTTAGGTGGTTCATAACAACTTGCGTTTAATATTAAGAAAATAAGTACACAAATTGCAGTGAGTTTTGATCTAAGACCACAATACAAAATAAGTATTTATTGTTTCTTTGTCTGCATTTTTAGATTTTTTTTGTCATTCCTTTTATCTCTTTTTTAATTCTTTAGCCTTTTCTTTTTCTGTTCTCTCAAATTGTATACCCTCAAATGGATCTGTGAGTGTATCAATATACAGTTAACTCTTTCTACAATGAATTTTAATATAACAAATTTATAATACAACGGATTTTCAGTATCAGACAGATTTTTAAATATAAAAAACCCTTATTATACTAAATTTAGTAATTAAAAATTTGTACTATGTTTAATGAATTAAAGTCAGAAAAATTTATATATAAAATAACTCTTTTTATAATGAATTTTCTCTATAACAAATTTTTTTTTTGATACAATGAAGTTTTGTTTAAAATGAATTTTACATATATAAAATTTTGTAGTTTTCTGTACCTAGTTTTTAAATAAAATTAAAAAATGAATAAATATTCATATTACACATTGTGTCTTGTATTTTATATTTTTTTTACATATTTTATTTTTTATGCGTTTTTTTCTTTGCATAATGCTAATAATGCCAAAAGTAAACTCAAAGAAATAACTTAATCAACCTACTAACAAATAAGATGAACCTTTAAAAAAATGAAAGTCTCTTATAGCTACACAAAAAAAAAGAACTTTAAAAAAAATATCATCACCTTTTTTAAAACAAAAAAACTTGGCTAATAAATATGATGTTAGTGAAAGCATGGTAAGTAACATTTTAAAGGAGAAAAACTGTTAGCTTTCTGTAGATACCAATTTATACTAAGCCAATTTTAAACGTGATAAGAAAACTTTATTCCCTCTTGTTGAAGAAACGTTAATAATATAGATAGATAACGCACTCAAAGCTAATCTCATTATTACTGATGATATTCTTTTAACAAAAGCCTTGAGTTTTGCTTTTTTATTAAAGAAGAATAAGTTTAAAGAGCCTAG